TAATAAATAGAACCTTAATTTGGTTTATATGCACCGCAACAATGCTTTTAATCGTTTGTCCCAGTCGCTCTCCGTCTTTGCGTAAGGTGTAATGCTTTTTTAAATATAGTCCCCGGCGCCTTACACACATGCATGTGATGGGAGTGTTGTTGACACAAATCAGTGATACCTAAAGCGCCATTCAGCGGCTATGTATAACTATATAGTCGAAAATGAGGTATTTACCGTGCAGGTTCAATTTGTATGTGACGAACTAACGAGAAATGGTTTCCGAAGTTGTGGTAATAGCATCAGCCCACAAGCAGACATTTAACACCATGAACATACCTTGTTTGTGGTATAACCATCCCATACAATCAGCTTTCCATCCTGTGATGCTGAGACGAGATTCCGTGAATCCGAACACCAGTGCATGGCGTAAATTTTGGCTAGGTGTCCACGAAGCATCTTCCGCGTTCGTAGCTGAATTCGATTTAGCATTTCTACGTTGGCGGTAGCGTGCATCAACGTGGTATCAGCGCAAGCCCTCCTCGCCTCCTTAATTTCATGGTTACGGGAGCAGAGGGATACCTACCCTGATCTGATTTTTCAGCTGCTCAGTTTCCTGCCTAAGTTGGTCCAATTCTCCCATTATGAGATACAGTGATGTGCGTTAGGGGACAAATGTCTAAGACTACGAAAACTGCGGCTGTGCAGCAGGAGGGCTCATCGCCGCGAAAGTACATTCAATGGTGGCCAACGTGGTAGAGCAGTAAAACAAAATTCAGTTCACGGGCCCGTGGATTCACGGATTGATGGATTGATACACAAGGTAGAGGTTTTCGACGAACGTACTCGGATAGGGTTTGTTCTTGTCGCTCAAAGGCTTCTGTTCGCTTGAAAGGCACAAGCGAAAAAAGGGTGTAGCACTGCTTTTTAAGTTCCCAGCGCGGGGCAGTAAGTTTGTTGGCGTGATGACTCCCATAAAAAGCGTCCAAAAGTGTTTTCAACCGGGTACTACATGCAGCGTGAACAACCGTCGGAGGAGGTTTAGTCCACGCACAAACCATCCGGAATGAGAGAAATTGTTGCCTAATAAAATCTGTGCCCTGAGCTTGAAAATTTTCTTGCCGTGCCTCTGCCGTGTTAGTTGAGCCAACGGCCAAACCTTGTTCAAACAGGGTGAATGCAAGTGTTGGGCCGCTTCGTAAGTGACGATACCCCGGGGGAGTATGTTTCACACTCAACGCATTTAACGCCTGCAACCATCTTTATAGAGGCCCTCTGGGCACGTTCAACGGGGGTTACGTCCTTCGTGCGTCCTGATTAGACAACTTGGCTGGCACATTCAAGAGTCGGTCCGGTGTAGGCCCCATAAATCATCTAGAAGTACATGCAATTAATACGGGGGAGGTGTGCCGAATCATCCGTGGAACAACGAATACCTTTTGAGGCGATTTTTCATGGTGGAGTTCGGACAGGTTTGAAGGGAACCATATGCCTAAATCCATTTTGGTATCTATCTCCGTAATGTCTCCCGCTCCATTCTCACCTTACCCGACAAAGGCGTTAACCGAGTCTCTTATGAGGGATATATGGACGCACTTTTCGTCATTCAAACGAAGGTATCAGTTCAGTGACAACTGCCTTGAGCGGCTACATCCATTTGGAGGACGCTGGCGTTGGAACTGGAAGTCATACTGAAATTACAGATACATCTCGAACTTCATTGATGCATGTCACATACGAAATCGGTCATAAAGCGAATCCTCGACCAACGTCAAAATAGACCGATGCCGACTAGGAGTAGGTGAAATCTAGTTTTACTCGGAATATTCTGTGCGACTGGAACGTCCTAATGCTGCGTGGTTTTCTTCCCTCAATCTCATTAGACTCCATGTTTTGGATGAGGTATATGTTTTAGGCTTGATCGAATGCTTTTTTAGGCCGAAAAATATAACATTCAATATGAGTCGTTTTTCTTTTCTTGAGTCAAGCTTCCAATTGATGCGACAGTGTTCGTCAAGCAAGAGCGGGGCGGTTATGGAGGAATTAGTGCTGGGGACACGAAGTGCATGGCACTGGAGTGCTTAATAGTGCTCGCTCCAGATTAGGTTCCATCATATTGCACGGTATGTTAGCGATTCTAATAAACCGTAACTGCCGAAGATAGGTGGTCGTCGGTTTTGTAAATTGTAAATTGGCGTGACGGTCGCCTTCATCTAAGAAAGAGAAGGTTTCCACTGTCGAGCAACAGACGAAATGCCGTGTGAAAGTGCATTTGCACTGTAAGCGAGGTTCTCCTCGGGGTCACTGGGCGACTTCTGGCACGACGCGTTAAAGCAAGAGTTGTCGAAGCTTCTCCTCTGTGATTATTAAGTCGTTTTCAGGCTGTTAGCATATACGTCTTGCGAAGTTTGGATGTGATGAGTTCGCTTGAGCCTGCTTCTGATTCCACTATTGCCTCACTCGGTTCTACCTCTGCTGCCCACCGAGGATGAGGCGGTTAGCTTTTTCTTTTGCGGTGTCCCATGTACTTGAATACGGTGTGTCTGGTTTTCCGGGCAAGGCCTAGTATTTTGACTTGTTTTCCTATGTCGCAGTGGCGGATTTCTGATTCAAAGTGGTACTGCATCTTAAAAGAAGCTCGTCTTCCGGGCCCAGCTTGTTATTTTATTGAAAGATGTGCGTGGGTCTTCGTTTTCAGCAGACGCTTAATCCTTTTAGATAGCTCTTGGTTCATTCGGTCGCCTTCCGGTATACTTTGGGATGAGTAAGACGTCAGCCTTGAGAATTTTCCGGGCAATTGTCCTATATATCGATCGCTCAGCTGTAGCGCCGTTTCGGTGGCTAGCTGCCATGCCACCCGAAGGTTGCACGAGGGCTGGGATACTGCCGGGTTGCCCAACCTCAGACAGGGGAAGTCGGGAGGCAGAGTTCGGGTTCAAACCACGGACCTTCCGGTCGGTAAATTCGTGCTCCAACCACTTGGGCCATCTTGTCCTGCATGTCTCCTCCGATGAAACTGGTCAAGAGCGGCATGCATTTCTGAGAAATCTGCTCGGCAGGAGTTTCTTTTGAGGTTCCAATCCATAGTACAGAATCGGATGAACTCAAAGATCAACGCCAAGCGGTAAATTTATCACAGTATAGCTTTAAATAACGATTGATCAACGAAGCGTCTTCATTTGGTAATAAACAAATCAATCTGGGATGGTGGTTGGCCCTGGCGTCTTCTGGCGTGTGTGACTACATTATGAGTCCACGCGCTCTGTTTAACAAAATTGGTCGACGCCATTTCCAAATGTTCACTATTTCCCAAAAATGGAGAGTTTTATATAGTCAGCCCTCTTAAATCAGGATCCCGATCATCTACCAGGAGCCACACCACATAGGTGTTCACCATGAAATTTGCTTGATGGAAAACCCGAAACGCCCGGTAGTAACCCCACCAATCAGCTCCCTCCCAAGCGTTGATGCCTCAAATGAAGGGCAGTGTGTAGTTCCCACCCGAAAACCCGTCAGCAGCTGTCAGCTCCATTTCTTTGATATTATCAAAGTAGTTTTCATGGCTAAATACTGTATTTTAATAGCTGAACATAAAATTCCGAAAAGATTCAGTGGTATTTTATGCATCCCTGCTCCAAATACTTGCTCTCGTTGACATCGCTCAGCACCTGTTCTAATAAGTTTTATTCCAAATGTCCGAAAGGCGCCAACCAACAAATTGGTGACAAACAATCCTTTTTGCTAAAAACTACCATTATGGGGAGTATCAAGCTATATTTTATACCTACCGTACAGCGAAAACTTGTTCATCGGCGCATTCCCATTCCAAACAGTACGAAAAAGAGTTACTTATTCCCTCACCGCAGCAACACCCGAATAATTTACCTGTCAACTGTCATGTCCTATCGCGCAAAACCGCCTGCCATACGCATCGGGTCAGAGCCTGCTTCGAGCTCAAATCCACCGATTGCGGACAACATGATTTCATGGGGTTCCAACACCAGCGTCCTCCAAATGGATGTAGCCGCTCAAGGCAGTTGTCACTGAACTGAT